TACTAGTTAGAATATTAAGTACTGCCAAAGAGACTCAGAATTCTGGTACCAAAATCTGTTGGTTGCCTTTTAATGCTCCATGGCATTATGGGGTAGTGCTGTAGATTTACAATTTTATCAATCTTTTCAAAGAACTAATTCTTTTGATTTCAACAATTCTCATTATTATGTTCTCAATTTCACTGCTTTTACCTTTCTTATTTTGACCTGCTTACATTCATTGGGTTTATTTTGCTTTTTTAAGGCAAAGACTTAGATTACTGGTTTCAGACTTTCCCCCTTTTCCATGGCAAATATCTCCCTCATACATTGCTTCAAATGAGTCCCCCAAGTTTTGACATACTGCTCTTGCATGGGACTCCATGTTCCTCAAAGTTTCCTTTTTGTACCACGACTGCCTAGTTTTCAAGCACTAAAATTTTCCTTTTATCTCTCTGCACTGATTTCTAATTTATATTCACTGTGCTCAGAGAACATATTCTCTGTGATCATAATATTTTCTTTTTTGTTGTTTTATGGCCCAGGACACACAATCCATTTTGGTAAGTATTCTGTGGATACTGGAAAAGAACAGCTCTTCTACTTTTCTAGGGAAATGTTCCATAAATGCTTATTGGATTCTCTTGGTATTGTGGAGCCCTATATTCTTGATGATTTTCCATCATTCTATTAACTGTTGAGAGAGAGCTACCACTGTGGATTTTTCTATTCTCCCTTTTTATTTTGTCACCTTTTGTTTCATATATGTTGTAGGTCTACCGTTTGGTGCACGCACACGTACCCTGATCCTGTTATGGTTATGTCTTGCTTTGCCCCTGGTAAATGTTCTTAATCTGCCATCTACGTTGTCTAATCACATCTTTCTTCTGCTTACATATGCATGTCTCTCTTCTTTCAATCTACATATACTGCTGTGATTATGGAGAATTCTTTCATAGACAACAGTTGAATCATGTTTTTTAAAATCCACTCTCATTTCTGTCAACAATTAGCATTTTAGATCATTTATTTTTAATATAATTATTGCTACCTTAGGTTTCAAGCCTATTTGTTTTTTGAAAAATTCCTTGTCTTCTTGTGGGTATTTGAACATTTTTAAAATTCCATTTTATTTATCCATAGCATTTTTTAGTATATCTCTGTATACATTTCTAGTGGTTTTTCTGGGTATTATAGTACATTCATAACTTATTTCATGCTACTAAGATGAACATTTTACTAGTTTGAGTGAAACACTGAAGCCTCCATTTAAGTCCCGTCCTTTTCCATTTATAATATATTGTCCTATATATTCCCTGCACATATACTGAGAATATAAAATAATATTATGTTTGCCTCAGCCATTGAATGTAATTTATAAACTGAAGAGGCATTTATTAGATTTGTTCATATTGTACCATGTTCATTACCTTTGCTTTCATCCTGATGTTCTAAAATTTCCTCTTTTATCATTTGTTTTCTATCTTTAGTCATTCGTTTAGGATAGGTCTGATGGCAATAAACTATATCAGTTTTTTTTCACTGAGAATGTTTTGCTTTCTTGTTAATTCCTGAAGGTATTTTTGTGGGCTATAGGATTCTGGGTTGACAGTTATTTTCTTCTCCCACCATCTGAAAAATATGCCAGTTCCTTCTGACCTCCATGGTTTGTGCTGACATAACCAAGGGCACTGTAATCACCAATGGTGGTCTCATTTTTGTTTGACTACTTTTAAGACTTTAATTCAGTCTTCAGTACTTTATCACATGTTTTGGTGTTCTTCTGTTTATTCTATTTGACATTAGCTCAGTTTTTAGAATCTGTTATCTTTTGCCAAATTGGTGAAAATTTTTAGTCATTTATTCAAATACGTATCTGAGTACTTTTTTTCACCCTTAAACGCCATCTTTTCTTCTGGGATTCTGATCACATGAATTTTAGACTTTTTGCCATTGAAGTTGTTCATTTTGGGTGTTTTTTAGTGTATTTACTCTTGTTCAGAGGAAGACATTTTTCAATTGCTCTACCTTCAACTCTGCTGAGTGCTTCTCTGATTATTTCACCTTGCTGTTGAGCCTATCCACCATGTTAATATGGGGCTCTGGAATTTTTCACTTCTAAAATTGTCCTTTCCTTCTTTATATCCTCTGTTTCTTTGCTTTGAGTTTATATTTCAATTTGCTTGTAACTGCTTAGTGAAGCTTTTTATGAAGTCTGCTTTAAACTTACCAGATAATTTCAGTTTCTGTGTCTTTGTGTTAATAACTGTTACTTCTTTTGAGAGAGATTTTCTGGCTCTTAACATACCAAATGGTCTTCAGTTATATCCTAGTACATGAGAAAGCTTGTACCTTTTTAAAATCTGGGTAAGCCTCCTCTGACACCATCTTAGTTTATTTTGGCTGCTATTAAAAAATAACATATATTGGGCAGCTTATAAACAATGAAAATTTTCTTACAGTTCTGGAGGATAGAAAGTCCGAGACCAAGGCACTGGCAGATTCCTTGTCTAGTGAAAGGCTGTATCCTTGTTCACTGATGGTATCTTTTTGCCGTGCCCTCACAAATGAGCTCCTTGGGCTATTTCATAATGGAACTTAGCACCTCCAAGGGGTTTTACCTCCTAATATCTTAGGGATTAGGATTTCTACATAAAAGTTTTATGGGATACAAATATGCAAACTGTAGCACTGTCAGTGGGGGAAAAGGGTGCTACCTAGCTATCTGTAGATGGAATGTGTCCAGAATGCCTTCTTGACCTCTAAAGACATTTGGGGTATAGGAGCAAGGAATGCCTCATTATTGCTGGGTAAAATGAAAACAAAGCCCATGTTCCCTTCAGGGATTCTGCTGACACCATCTTGTCCTGGAAGGAAAAGCTTTGGTTAATTCTTATACATCATTCACTGACCATGGAGTGGGGCAGAAGGAGAGGGGGCTCACTACCTCTGAGTGTGATTCAAGTGGTGATCCAGCTTTTCTGTTGACCTCCTCTGACATCTTCCTGCTATGGAAGGGAAAGGAAGGGGCATTCATTACCACTAAGTGTGGACTAAAATCTAGGCTCCCCAAGTAGCCATACCTGATGGCTCTGGGAAATGGTGAAAGCCCTGATTCTCCACTAGACTTTGTTGACCTACCCCTGGCAGGAAGCAGTGAGTGCTCTATCACAGCCAGGCAGACACCTAGACTCTCTGAGGACCGCCAAGAAAGGCTGGAGGGGGCCACATATTTTTTGTCATGTTGGCTAGCACGTGGCAGTTAATGATTGGAACTTCCCTCCTGCCAGGCTCGCATTTCCTGGTCCTTTGCTACAAAGACAGAATACTGGTGGTGCTGGGGATTCAATCCAGGGCCTTTGCACTGATGTACAGTCTCAGCCCTTTTTAAATTGTTTTAAAATTTTGAGATTGGGCCTTGCTAAGTTACTAAGTTGTCCAGCCTGGGTGTAGACTTGTGATCTTCCTGCCTCAGCTTCCCATAATGCTAGAATTATAGGTGTGTATCACCATACCCAAATTTTGGTGGTTTTATTTATTTATTTATTTGTCTCAGTTCATTGCTACCTCCAGCTTGTGACTTCTTCAGTACCCAGTCTAGGAAAGATGGTGGGGGGAGGGGTGGTGGTGGTGGTGGAGAGGGAACCTCAGGGGACTCCTGCTGTTTTTCTCCTGCTGGTCTTTCAGTCTCTATGGAGGCTGTCTTCTTTCTACTTCTCAAACTCTTCTCATATTCACTTTATGCATCCTGTACTTAGGGGAGGAATAGGGAGAAGTGTGTTATCCCATCTAGTCTGGAATCAGATAGAATACTTAAAATTTCCCTAAAGCATTTACCATTGTTGTATCTTGCTTCCACAAAGGGTTAATACAACATAATTAACCTGCATCCTGTTAGACATTAATGAAGCAAAAGCCCACTATTAATGCCATTGCTGTTTTGCTTTATCTTTTAAAACTTTTATTCACATTCCTGATTGAAAACCTGACCTTCAGTCAGCAGGACGTTCTCCATCACTCATGAAATGAAGGCATTGTGTCCTATAGAAAACACTGCCTCTTGTCACCCCATGGAGGTCTCATTTTGTCTTTCATTTTTCTAAACCTATTATTCTCTTTTTCCATTTGACATGATTACAGATAAGTGGTTCTAATTTATGGAGAAAGTAAAACTTAAAGAAGTTAAATCACTTACCAAAGTTTAAAGAACTAGTTATTTTCAGAGTTGATAGCAGCAAATTGGTTTTATTACTAAGGATCTTTTCTTTACAATAATGTTCTTGCTTAAAATCTGATACTTACAATTACTTCTAACACCAACATAGTTTTAAGTATAAAAGTCAAAGTTTAGAACTTAACATGAAATAAATTAGCTGTATTATTTTAAAATTGTGTGTACTTCAAAGAGTACTTTTATTCTGTTTCCTAATTTTAAAAGACATACAGTCACTACAGAAAAAAAGTAAAAAGACCTAAAGAACAACAACAATGAAAAAAAAAAAAAACTCCCAACAGAACATCTGTTACATAGCTGGCTGTTAAAGAAAAATTGTTATATACCCACTGAGATCCTTGGGGAAAAAAGTAATACATATTATGAAATTTTAAAGGAGCTATCACATTCTAAAATTTAAGTCATGTCTATAAATGACAACTGATTTACGTCCCCCCAATAGGTCCATTTTTTTTTTTTTTTTTTTTTTTTTGTCTTTTTCGTTTTTATCGGTACCAGGGATCGAACTCACGACTGCCTGCTTGCAAGGCAGGTGCTTATGCCGCTGAGCTAAATCCCCAGCCCCAATAGGTCCATTTTTTAACATAAAGTAAGCAGAATAAAAGTTACGGTTGTTAAATGGTGCTGCACACATTCCTCAGCTTCAATTGACCATGGCATGTTTATAATAGGTCTAGAGGAAGGAGCTTTAGCTTTGTCATTAAGTACTTGCGTATTTTCATCTCATCCCACGATATGAAACACTAAACAATAAAAATCTCAATGACAATGAAAAGCTAAGCTTTACCTTCACAGCAGGCAGCATGTCCAAGGAGTCCAGTATGAACAGCACTAATGCTTGCATCAGCATCATAAATTGATTAAATTGCCATGTCAGACTAAAGAGAAAAGTTGATATGAAAATGGCAAGAAGTGTCAGCCTCTGTAAAAAGAAAACCTTTGTATAATTTACATGTCTCTAGTAATAAAAAACCCTGCAGACAAGTTTTCTCAAGAGCAGCCAATATCTCTATAAACCAAACAGAAAAACCATAAACTGTTGCTCCGAAAACCCTTGCATTTGTTATTTAAGCTTTAAATATCCTAAAGTGACACTCTGCATATAAATATTCACATACAGTATGTGTATTCCACACTATTATGGAGGCGATAATGCACCAAATCACATCTCAAGAGCAACAGCTTAAAAATTCTGACAGTTTCACAGAAATTGTGTGTGGGCTTGCTGCAACTATTTAAGGGTAGATTATGTAGAGTACATTTTTAACATAAAAAATGAAAACATTTTCTTTGCAAAGTAGGAAAAAGCTCAGAGAAAGAAAACTTGAAACTCCAGTTAAAAACCTGGTCATGGAATAAGAACTGTTCAGACTGGGACATGCAACATATTTTTCAAAGCTTCTCATATAAAACTGGCAAATTAAAATTACACAGTTTCGGGGCTGGAGGTTTAGCTCAGTGGCATAAGCCTTGCAAGCAGGCGGTTGTGAGTTTGATTCCGGTACAGATAAAAATAAATAAATAAATAAATAAAAAAAATTATACAGTTTCATAGAAACTTACTTCAGAAAGAGACTGTAAGTTTGGTCTCAGGAAGTACGTAATTGCTGCTATCTGGATCGCAAAGAATGGCAGTGCCCAGTTCTCCCTCAGAGGGATGGTAAATTCAACTCTTGTGGTATCTATTCTGCACAAAGAAAACACAAATGGCCAGAATGATAGTTTTCACAATAACTCTCTCCAAGATTCTCTAAAGTCAGAGATGATTACATTAAGTACAAGTATACCCAGCTTCTATAGACTGGCTCTTAGTAATTGTCCTTGTCATTACCCATCATCATCATCCCCATAACATAAGACTGGCACTGAGACAATTTAAATGATCAGTCCATGGGTATACATTTAGCTAAGTAGCAGAACTGAGGTTCAAATCCATGTCAGCCTGACTGGTGACAGGTGTCAGGCCAGACTGCTCCTTAGTTTTTTCTCTAACTTAATAAATGCCAATAGGCAATGTTGTGCATTCCTCCCCTCCATAGTTTTCGGTGGTTTGTAGTTTATTTAAACTTCTCGCTGGTGACTTCTTGCCTCTCTAAAATGTTACCACTCAGAGGGGAAGTACATGTAAATTTTCACCTCTGTACACTCAGTACCAAAAGCAGAATTTGAACATACTAGGCATTCAATAAATGATTGTGTGTGTTCGTATACATATAGTACAACCTTTTATATCTCAATTTCCTTATTTCTAAAATGGGTTAATAATCCTATCTACCTTACACGGTGGTTATAAAGCATCTTGTAAAGTACTTGGCAAAAAGGACTATAAGAAAAAATAATTTGTTTAGGACCACAAAACAAAATCTGTGTGAGAATTCATCTTTAAATTTTAGGACCCCTACTAAATACTGATGGTGCTACTGTATGTCAGGCAGTAATTCAAAATATCTGAAATACGTGCTTTAGAAATACTATTTCACAAGGCTCCAATGTTCATAAATTAATATGTATCAAATAATATAAACTCTTCTTTGCATTTGTACAGTGCTTTATGCTTTGCTATTGGGTGCTAATTTTTTTTTTTTTTTTTTTTAACCAGGAACTGAATTTAGGACCTTGTACTTGCCAGGCAGATGCTGTGCTGCTGAGCTAAATCCCTGGCTACGCTTTGCTAATTGGGAACAGTATTCAAACCTATTAAGACTGATAGTGAAGACAGATACTACAACTCTTTAAAAGATGAGAAATGTGGCTGCAAAAATATTGACTGAACAGCAAACATATAAGAGAACTGGGATTATAACAGATGTTTCTTTTGATCTGCAATTCAATATTGTGTTCCTTAGCTGGAAAGCAGGACTCTCTCTACCTTACTACAGAATGTTTAGTAAATCACTGGCTAAACCAAAGACAAAATGCTCTTAACCGAACACAGCAGAAAAAATGTCTCTGAACTGGAAATAAAGTAACTTTATTTTACTTACATTTTGGAAAGGAAGAGAAGCATACTGATTCCAACTCACCTATTTGTGATATACCAGAAAGCTGCTAATAGTCCTGATAGCCAGGTACCACTAAGGAGCCAGCTGGTTATATAAAGAGCCGTGACATAGACTGCTTGGAGTCCAAATAAGGTGTAAATATAAAAATAAACTGGCTCTAAATATTTCTGTAAAGGAGAAGAATAAAAATGTTTGTCAGAAAAGTCCTGAGTCTCCTTCCTACGCCATTTAAAAATCTGTCAATAGGAAGGCAGTGTGTGCAAGCCTGCTGGTAACTCCCAGTCGTAAGTGCACACTGCTGTTTCCCACCCAGAAATGTGCAAGCAATCTTTCTTCCCACAGCAAGCGAGCAGGGAGGAAAGGCCTGGGGGTTCTGCTTTCACTCTTTACACCTGACTTTGTCCATCTGCCTTATCACACAAGAAGGGGTCACTGTGATTTGCTAATTTTATAGTTTTTTTCATCTCAAAGATAAATCAGGATTATACATTTACAAATGAGTATTTATCAAGCTTCTAGACTGTACACAAATAATATAATACAACAGGAAGCAGCTACATATAAAAATCTTATAACATAGGTAAAAGACAGCATCTTATATTAATAAAATAATGTTCTTATTACAGTAATATGGTATTTATTACAAAAATTACGGTATTTCTGCTCTCTTATTTATTTTTGCTTTCTATCAAAGCAGTTCAAGATCTGAAGAACATGTGTGAAATTTTCAATTTGAAATCGCAGATTCTGACTTTCATCTGATAGAGACAGTGCAATGGCACAGATCATGACATACCTGTATGGGTAGAGCTCTATATAAAATACTGAGGAAAACCTCTTGATAAATATTCATTCGTTGCAGGAGATTAATTGTCTTCATAGATTCTGTCTTATTATCATATATTAAGCCATAAAAACCTAAGAATGTTTGAAAAATTGGGAAAAATTATCATTATTTAATCAAAACTATGTCACAGATTCTTTGGTATGTGCCAGAGAATGTAGACAGCAGTGGAAACGTAACCGTAAGCAAAAACAGTCTTCCCCCAGAGAGCTTCCTATATGCTGGGTTATATAAACCCAAGCAAATTAAGACATCTGTGACTGAAATGAAAAAAAAGGGACCACATTATTTTTCTATAGAAATTCAGGCAAGAGGATTTTATACCTGCCCTCCGCCGTGTGACTGGTAGCAGTTCCTCCCCTGCAGAGTATACACAGCGCTCCCACACCTTCAGACAGCTCTGGTCATCTGACTCACTTTGATCGTAGGCACATGAAGCTGCCATGTCTGATCAGCAGCTTTAAAGAAATGTATGTTTCTACTACCTCTCAGGCTCTCTGTCTGCATGACACTGTCGTATTTGAAATAAGGGCTGGCAGGAGAGGACGTTTAAGGCAGAGCAGGGTTGCTCATGTCTCAGGGCAGACGTAGACTGAGACTAAGCAATAAATCTGTTATAGAAATCCATTGCTATACTGAGGTCATCTGTTCTTATAACTAAGCTAATTAATACTGTACAAAGAATGAATGGATAGTTCACAGAAGAAAACATGCATATAGTCCTTATACATGGGAAAAGATACTCAACCCCACTTCTATCAAAAGAAGTACAAATTAAAACTACACTGAAATACCATTTCTTACCTACCAGCTTGGCAAACTCAAGAAATAAGACAGTATTAGTAAGGTTATAAGGAAGTTGGTTCTTTCACACTGAAGCTGGGAATGCAAAATGGTATCAGCTCTATGAAGAACAACTTTATAATACAAAGCAAAATCACATGTGCATTTTCCCATGGCTAGGAACTGACCCCAAAGAAAAACTGTCAAAAACCACAAAATGACACAGGCATAAGATTAATCATGCAGCACTGCTTGACAAGAACACAAGATCAGAAACAACCAAATGCTTACCAGTAGGAAGTACCGTGGACTGAACTGTGCTCCCATTAAATTTGTATGTGGACACCCTAACCCTTCAAATATGACTACACCAGGAGACAGGGCATGGAAGGAGGTTAAAAAACCAACTGAGGTCATAAGTGGGGAGAAATTGGGAGAACAGAGAGGAGCTTGTACTTGCTTACTTTGGGGCTTCACAATCTCCCTGTTTTCTCTCTTGCTCTACTTACACAGAGGAAAGACCATGTGAGGACAGAGAGGAGTGGCATCTACAAACCAGGAAGAGGCTTCAAAGCACTAATGGTGTTTTGATCTTAAACTTCCAGAATTGCAAGAAAATACATTTCTGTTGTTTAAGTCACACAGTCTGTGGTATTTTATGGCAGATCTGGAAGGCTAATGCAGGAGCAGTACAGACTAAATGTTTGTGTCTTTCCGTAACTCATATGTTAAAGGGCAGGACCTTCATGATGGGATTAGTCCCTCACAAGACAGACACCATCTGAGGTTGTCTTTAGTCTCTATTTTATGAACACACACAACAAGAAGGTGGCTATCTGCAAACCAAGAAGAGTGCTCACCAAACAGTGAGCACGATGCCCTCTACCCCATCTCTGACTTCCAGCTTCCAGAACTGTCAGAAAATAAATTCTGTTGCTGCACTTTCCAGTCTATGGTATTCTGTTATAGTATACTGAGCACAGTATGGAGACTATTTGTAACAAGTGTCCTCATCCACATGAAAGAGTGCTCTGCAGTGCCAAAAAAGAATAAGGATCATCATTTATTCCACTGTAAAATGACCCCCAAGATACCCTATTGTGTGGAAAAAGCAAAATAGGAAGCAGTATATACTATAAGATGGGGAAATGTGAACATATTAAAAGGATTTGCTTAGGGCTGGGGATTTAGCTCAACAGCGTAAGAGCCTGCCTGACAAGTGCAAGGTCAAGAGTTTGATCCCCAGTACCAAAAAAAATAAACAAATAAAAGATTTGGAACATTAACACTAGGAGAATAAACCAAAAACTAATAAAAATGATTATAGAGCAAAAAAGAAAGCAGGTATAGTGTGGTAGATCGAAAACTGATGGGCAACTTAAACAGCAGCTGAGCTGAATCAGAGTGGTGCTGAGCGTAGATGGCCCACTTGAGCATTGTTGCCAGCATAAAAAGGAGATCTGGGGAGGAAGAGCTGTTGTCTCTGTTTGGTGCTATTGGTTCTCCTGTTGCTGTGGGTTCTCCTGGAGGAACTCGCTGAGCTTCTTTTGTGATATGAACTTGACTGTTCTCATTGTCAGGGGAGCTCGTGATGAAGCTCCCCTGTTATGAAGAATGGCTGTGGTTCACTTTGGCAGAGCCCTGTTCCCTACTTTGAGCATCACTTCCTGGCTCTGGAGAGGAAGACGCTGGGTGTGTTGTTCAATCTCTAGAAGCTTGTCACACTGGCTTCCTGATATGCGCCTGGCTGTTCTTGAGGAGCTCAGAACCTCATTGTCACTGAGGATGGCTGTGGTACTTTTTAGAAGATCCCTGGTCCTTACTCTGGGCATTGTTTCCTGGCTCCAGTGCACAACCCTCAACCTACTGGCACAGGTCCTTCACTGCTCTGGTAGACTCTGTGGTTTCTACCACTGATTGTTAGGCCTTTCCACTGCAGATTCATGAAATAGACTCGCATGAGTCTTTGTTGTGGGCTTTAGGCCTTTACCTGGATTCATGAAGGACACTACTGTGAAATCCAGGTCCTTGGCTAGATTCTCTAGGTCTTCGGTGCATGGACAGATTTTCTGTACTATCTTTGTATTTGTCTCCTTGGGTGACTACTATAAATAACACTATAAATTAAGTGTCCTGTATGTAATACATACTTTTCCTTGCAATTCCTGACTACAATATATAGCATTTATAGGTCCCTGCGTCTGGTCTCTAGCACAATACACACACACACACACACACACACACACACACACACACACACACACCCCAAGAAGAAAATAATGAAAAAAACCCAAAGAAACAAACAACAACAAAAAGGAAACAGTGGAGGGGAGCAACAATGAAGTAGATTCCTCTTAATGTTCCTTGTTTTATAACATAAAAAATTAAATAAAAACCATTGAAAAATCAGAAGATGAAACAAACCTACTGAGTCAGTGCCTTGGTTATACAGAAAGAACTCTTTCAAGCTAACTTGAAGATATAGGAACACGACTGTACACTGCTAGGTGGGTTATAGCTATGGTGAAAAGTGACTGCAAAGACAGCTTAAACTGTTTTCAGGTAATCATACTTTAAGTAGCAATTTTATTACTGTTACTTTGAAAGTATCATAAATGGCAGCATAAAATAAGTGACAAGGTTAATGTCACAAGGAATCAAATTTTTCAATTTAAGAGGAAAAATAAATTAAGGGTTACACATGTAAAAGAAGTAAAAACTTTTAACTTTGCCCTGAAAATACTTACCTTAATATTTTCCTATAGGGTGGAAAATGACATTTTCTAGTTCCCCTCACTAAAAAGACTTGGAAACAATGACCTATCCAGTTGCATTAATTATCCTCAGCACCAAAGTTGTAGTCTCTAAATATCCACTAAAAGGAACTATAGCTCCTGGAAGGAAGTGCTGATTCTAGGTCAGTGCAAGGAAATACACAATGCGTCTCCAATATCTCATGATGCTAAAAGGCAAGGGAGTTGTCCAAGACCACTGGGGCCATGTAAAAAACGAAAAAGTGACCACCAGAAAGCAACTGGGCAATTCAATGTACACCTGCCAAGGACTGAAACACATCAAAGGTTACAAATCTACAAGTTTATGATGACCCTTAAAAGGAAATGCTTCAGGGTGACCTATAGTTCAGTGGTAAAGCACTTGTGAATTCAATCCTGTTATGGATTAAGAACAGGTGGTCAACTTAATGCCAGCTAGATTACATCAGCATGGCATTGAGTGAAGATGCTCCACCTGAGGAAAGTTGCCAGGATAAATAGGTGGAGAAGAAAGGAAGTGTTGAGGGTTGAGGCATTAAGGTGTTATTGCATTGAGGCATTGTGGGTTCTCCGAGTTGCTGTTTGAGCTGTTGGTTCTCCTGGAGAAGCTTTGGTCCTTACATCAAGCATTGCTTCCTGGCTCTGGAGGGGAAGACGTGTGCTGCTTGTCTCCAGGATGAACTCGTCACGCTGCTTCCTGGCATGTACCCAACTGTGCTTGTCATCAGAGGGGCTCGGGGCCTCCGTGTTGCTGAGGATGGCTGTGGTGCCTTTCAGGATAGCTGTGGTCTTTGTTGTGTGACTTCTGGGCTCCAGCATAGAACCCTCATCCCACTAGCACAGCTCCTTCATCCTGCTGGCATAGACTTTTTGGCTTCCACCGCTGACCCTTGGGTCTTCTCGGCATGGATCCATAAGAGACTGGCGTGAGTCCTTCTTGTGGGCTCTGGACCTCCAGTTGGACTCATGAGAGGCATTGTTCTGAGCTCTGGGTTTTTATCTGGACTCATGTGGGACATTGCTGTGGGGTTTAGGCTCTTGACTAAATAATCTATGTCTTTGGTGTTGCAGATAGATTTCCTGCATTTTCCTGTGTTAACTCCCAGTGACCATTATAAAAATATTATAAATTACATGTTTGGATCCTAATTGTTCTCTGTGTACAACCCTTGACTACAACAAATCCCCAGTAAAAGATAAAAAGATCTTAAGGGCATGCTAGAAAGACAACTCATTCTAAAACTAATAAAGGGAAAAGAACAATATTCTGCCTTTCCGCCCTTATGAACTAAACTGGCTTACCAAATAGTTGCTGAGAAAATGTTTTTCTTTCAAAATAAATTCTATCCAATAATAATATAAGGAATGATAGATCATCGCCATTTTATGGTACATGAAACTAACGAATTTAGGGAATGATCATCAATGGTACTAAAGCATTTAGTGAAAAGCTAATTGAGAATTTAATAATGGATAGACAGACAGCCAGACAGTGTGTGCCTTCTCATATGCAAGTACATGATACCATCTAGTAAGTATTCTTACCAAAGAACAGAACCTAAATATGAGCAAGCCTCAAGCTAGTTAACGAGTAACAGGAAATTCAGGAAAGAACATTAAATGATACCATGGAGCTCCAAAAAAAAGCAGAAAATGGGAAATTCTATCAAATAAATCATACATTAGATAAAAAATTACATGGGAAAAGACGAAGGATACTGACATATTTATGAAAACACATACATATCAAATGATTGCAATGTAGATGTTGTATGTGCATCGCAAAAACTGTATTAAAAATCTAGTTCAGTGTGGTGGCATATGCCTATAATCCCAATACTCTGGGAGGCTGAGGCAGGAGTATATAAGTTCAAGTCCAGGCTAGGCAATTTAGTGAGATCCTGTCCTAATAAAATAAAAATAAATTTTACAAAGGCATGGGAATATAGTTTGGTATGAGGGCTCTGGGTTTAATTCCCAGTACTACAAAACACAAACAGACAAAAAAAATCAAACAAGCTGCATTAAAAATCTGTAAGACAAGTGGAAAAGAGAACACTGTTGAACCATATGGATATATTTACAGATGAAGAAACATGATGCCTTGGATTTACTACAAAATAACCCAGGCTTAGGGCAGGGATACAGACAAAACAAGACTGGTTATGAGTTGATAAATGTTTTAGATAGATGATGGATACACAGAAATCTACTATAGGGTCCACTCTACCTTTTTACTTGTTTGAAAGTTGCTAAAAGAATCATTTCAGTGGATGACATCAATGCACTGAAACGTGTCAGCCCGAGTCTGTCACAATACTTAAGAAAATAATCATGCATCTATCAAGTAGTTTCTCAGCCTCAATACTATTGACATTTGGGGTGAACTGTTCTTTGTAGCAAGGCTGCCTTGCATACTAGAATGCTTAGCAGCAATATTGGCCTCTTACTTACTGGATGTCAGTACCCATCCTCAGTTGTGACAGCCAAAAATTCCTCCAGACATTCAGGATGACCCTCTAAGGGCATTCTCCTCATTCAAACAAGAAACACTGCTTTGAGGATGCTAGAAAGCACTCTTAATTCTAAGAGCCAATTTTCATTATTCATAGTAATAATGTTCTACAAAGTCACAGTGAAAATAGTGGTTCTTGCAATTTTATAATTATGTACTCAAACATATTACTTTGTTTCATGTGGGCTTCTATTTAAAATATTTTCTAGGGGCTTAGCTCAGTGACCTAAGCACTTGCTTAAGTGTGAGGTCCTGAGTTTGATCCTTAGCATCAAAAAAAATTTTTCCCCTTTACATTGCTTACCTTGTGGTCAGCAGCAATAAAACTTGGGTTGCCTAAACAAACCCTAGCACGTTTTCTCTGTAAGGCATGTCAATGCCTTCTTGCACTTAGGAATACTACACAGTACTTGCACACCATATGTGGAAGCCATTTTAAAGCATCAAACCAGAAAACAGCATAAAAATGTTAAAATTCATGGCACTAAACAGACTGTGAAAAGGACACTTACTGTTTTTCTCTAGATGTTCCTATAGAGCCTCATGTGCTCATAGGTGGGGCTTTTTGGAGGCAGCTGGATTTAGAGTGTGTGAGTATGGTTAAGGGTGTGATAACTAAATTAATCTACTGATTGATTTGGCATAGTTCTGGGTGAAGCTAATGGATAGGACCCCTCAAAAGGTTTGTAGCCTAAATGGGGTAAAATGGAAAGGGAAAGCCAGGTGTGGTGGTGCACACCTGTAATCTTAGCACTCCAGAGGCTGAGGCAGGAGAATTGCTGAAGTTCAAGGCCAGCCTGGGCTACAAAGTGAGTTCAAGGTCAACCTGAAATGCAAAGCAAAACCCTGTTGTCAGGTACTATTTCTCCTCTGTGACACCCCTTCAGGCTACCCTGCCTTGAGTCAGCTGACTGCAGACTGAAACCTGTATGAACTGTGAGCTGCAATGAACTTTTTCTTCTTAAACTTGTGGGTGTCAGGTCTCTTGTCTCAGCAATAAGAAAAGTAACTGAGACAGATACTGTAATGTGAGAGCTGAACCCAGAGAGGGTTGCCTGTTTCAGCTTTGGCTGAGAACAGAGGCAGAGTTGGTGACTTTTTCACAGCTCTAGACATGTCCATGAATGCTGTAGAAGCACCATGATTATTGAGTGTTAGAAATAAATTTTTTTGAGTGCATGATTTTGCAAATTTGGAATCTATATTGCTAGAATTGGTCATAAGAGGCAAAAATCAATACTTAGCCTGCTGTCTTCTGTAAGCTACTTCAGGTAATCAATTAATGAGAAAAGATTTTCTATAGAACAAAGTTCCAATTAAACAGAGTAGGCACGAAAAGGTTAGAATGTCATCATTTTGCAGCCTTATGAAATAATGGATATAAAAAATAATCATCAATGGTTGATGGTATCAGTAAGTAGAAGACCGAGCAGCTTTCTGATGGATAAATCTGGCTATCAGTACAAGAAGCAAGTGATTAATTTTTATAGCACAAAAACAATGGTAGCCAAAACTTCATGTCTCTTATTGTGATCAAAGTAAATGCACAAAATATCACTATGAAGAATTCACATAAAAAATATCACAGCTGAGTCCAAGGAGAGATTGAAAAGAACAACAGTCTGCCATGTGTGCACAGGTTGAACATGTTAAATAGGAGAGACCTTGGAAGCCTTCCATTAGGAGCAGGAAAGGTCCAAAGGTTCTAAATCACCTACAGAAAGTGAAAATATATGAAAATGGGCAATTTCCAGGTAAAGGAATTAATGGGGACAGTGAGGACAGGAGGGCCAAGTAAATTTTTATTACTGAAATGTCCAATAATTTTGGACAGTACTCCTTTCACCTGCAAAAACCCCTTTCAAAATGATCATGAGAAAAACAGCAACAAAACTAAGAAATCATAGAGATTGCTTTGTGGGTTGGTATAGAGTTGGAAAGCAAGGACAGGACAGTTATACAAGGTATTACATAGCTTCTTACAGAATAAACCATCTTCATGAGATGACCAGACATTAACAAGAAAAAGCTACACAAATTCAGATAAAAACTATACAAGTTCTATGAGACATTTAAAATGTTTACTGCAAAGTATATTCTGACTAAAAGGTTCCAAAGAATGCAGCACACTCCAAATGAAACTATTAGTTGTAATTACCTTGCATGACGGTTGGAGCCTGCAGCATCTGCTTGTAGTAGGAGTAATACAATCCACATTCTGTTCTGAATGAGATTTCTCGCTCCACTTCCTGAAACAAAGTTAGATCTACTGGGTTTACATGACCTAGTTTTATATCAATATGTGTTGTCACTGTGGAAACAGGATCCAGAATTACAGTTTAAAAGAGAAAAAGCCAATAAATATAGTTTATCATTTCAAGAATACAAGAAATCTTTTGTTGCTATCATTTATTTTATTTTTGGTTTGGTGAGAGGGTCTTGCTGTATAGTTCAACCTGTCCTTGAATTCACTATGCAGTGATCCTTGTTGAGGTGAGCCTCCTGCTTCAGCCTCTTTAATTCTGGTTTTGCAGGTACATGCTACCATACCTGATTCTCAAGAAATCTTGACAAACAAGAACCATGACAGGATGACCGCTGCAGTGGGTGAGGGACACCTGAGAGCATGTTACACCAGTCTTTGTACTTTTGTGTTGACATTTTCTATAATAAACCATGTTTTTAAAAGTGAAGATAATTAGTAACTACTTCCATTTAAGTTGTTTTAAAGTGAATGTTTTGCTTTTATGTCACAAAAAATTGGATTTTAAGAAAATAAAACACATCACTATTCTCAAGTAATACAAGTGAAATACAATCCAGGCACATTATAAACAAACAAATAAACAAAACCCTCCCAAATGAAAAGATCTGTAACAGCATTAGATACTTGTTTAATAAAGCAGTGATATTACAGGTCAACATTTTTTTTATTCTAAGAATATAAATTATTTAGACTTTCTGCATGATTTTTACTGTGAAAATTAACCCTCTTGAAAAGATGTTTATGTGGGTAAGTAGACACATGAAGTACTTCAACTGCTTTTGGGTAAGAAATAAACACTTAAATGGTTATCAGTCAGTGTGGCTGCAAGATGCTTTTTTAACGTAAAATATGGAGGCAATGAGAAAAGAGGATGAGGATTTTCTGGAAGAATCCCATTAATGGTGTATTTGATATACATGTAAAAGTAGAAGTGAACAAGAAGTTATAACATTTGTCATAATATATTCTTGTACCTGTCTTCCAAAGCCCAGGTCCTAGAATCCAGGGCACACTGTCTTAAGTGTAATCTCATCCATGTCTTATCACTGCAGATCTGTACCTGATAAGCACACACAACTGGAGGGGGAAGGCGATAGATGCTGAGCAGAGAACTCCTGTTAACACAGCTTTGTTTCCCTTTCCCCCCATGTTTTTCATATACTGATAAACATTTCAATAAAAGAACCACTCGTGCTATTCATCTTCAGTCCTGAGAAATATTTAATGTCGTTTTCTTACCTTTTAAGTGTTTCTCCTGTCCTTTAAAAATATTATAAATCAACTCATAAAGAAAGCATTGAAGAAGTAATTTCTCAATTATTTAAAAGTGTAAACATCTAATTGCTGGCTCCAAAAAACAATTAGGTTGTATCAGTATTAAGTCACTGCCATTAGAAACATGGGTGGGGATGAGACAGCAAATTTTGTATATACTGAATTTTCTTTCACAGAGACAAATTTATCTTGGGGGAAATTAAGCACTTAAAAAGGCCTTTGAGGTTCTGAAGTTTAATTAGTATGCTTGCTTTTAAAAAGGACAACACAGGATAAAACAGCTTTTTTAGTTTCCATAGCTGCTACTCATCTGTATTTGTCTTTTATAGGAGTAAAAGCAGCTTTTCTTAGTAGTTATGTAGCCCTAGTCATCTTTAATCTTGGAGAAAAACTGCTCTATTCTTTTTACAGAATAAATCCAAACTGGTATCATTTATTTCTGGAATATTCAAATCTCTACTTGGTCATACAATCACAGAGGCTATGAATTGATGTTAACTGAGCAAATATTAGCTTTTGTCCAGAAAATGAGACAGAAAAATTGCTTGCAATTTAATTCTTCTTTCCCCTGTCACTCCCGCTGCTTTAAAATGTTCAAATTACTACTAATGTCTTCAATTGAATAGCCTGACATCAAACCAACAACCCTAACTGCACAGCCAAATTATTCACCTACATCAGTGGGCTACACTTCCTATACAGTTCTAAGAATAAAACAAAATAGCTATATAAAGATGAGGGGGAAAAACATTGCTTAAAGTTCTAAAAGTAGAAAGCTTCTGTGCCCCACTCCTCTCTTCAATATACCCAGAATAACAAACAGAGGGGGATCTAATTAGTAAAAATGCATTCAAACATGATTAATTGGTAATCTTGGCACCAGCTGTACAGAACCAAATGCTATACTTTATTAGACAGACAGTAGCAAGTTTTACATCTGCTTCATGCTAAGAGAACATCTGCTTGACTCAAACACTTCTCCAGTTTTACAGCAATTTATACTTTGCCTGGTGGATCACACCAGTGAAAATGTACATCAATAGAAGTTACCCACCATAGAATGCAAAATGAACACATACTCCACATTTTAATTTGCATAGGTTTCACAAAGAAAGCAGGATTTGCGAAAAGAATGAAAACATCTCCGAAGATAAATGACAGAAAAAAAGTGAAAAGACAAAGGAACTGTATTTCTAAAGAACTATGCAAATAAAACCACTTAACTAGTAGTTTATATAGTAATTAAAAGTCAAAGCATCAAAGAGAAATAAAAGGGGCTGCTCACCACTAATGATTTGTGTCCCCTGTAGGCACTAAGGCAAGTTGCTGGCAATGCACAAAAGGTTAACAAGCCATTTGAGGGAAAATGACACTCAATGTGGAAAGAAAATGCATTAAGTTAGCTTTTAAAAATCTCATATAAATAACTTCTGTTTATAAATGTTGCCCTCCCAAATAATTAGCCTGCTGGTGGTAGGGTATCCAATGAGTGATTAACTTTATGATGCTATCTATTCAGCATTATGTTAACAAATCATCTCACCAAGAAACAGTAGCTCATGATAAGACAGCTGTTCTTAAAGTTCTGTACTGGGAATCATGCCCTCAGCAAACATATTTATGGCATATACGTGGTTTATTGTCTGGTTAAATTCATGTCCATCTGTTAGAAGGGAAGGATTCTTGCCCTAGAGTTGATGAAAGTCATGACACGAGAGAGGTGTCAGCAGTGCCTGTGAGGAGGGAAGGCTGCAGCTGAAGTGACGGTACTCCCACTAGGCTTATGCTGAAGCAGTCACGTCTTGTGCTACTGAGGTTACTACTGTGCGCGTTACCCTGATTATTCCAGACTCCTTGCTTTGCAGGAATATTCAATAGGAAGACGTGCATATTCCACAGTGTCAAATACATAACACAGTAACATAAAATGTTTCCATAAGGAAAAAGTCTAGGAGGAAATGAGTGACCTGAATGCTTCTTGCTAATGAGAATGACCTTTCTCCACCATTTATTTGAATATCTACTGGCTGGAGAAACAAAAAGAGGTAAAAATCAAGTTCCTGACCCCAAAGAGTTTATGCCCTACAAGGAAGAACAACACAACTTCCAGTGGTGGTACATGACAGCAATTCCAGCACTCTGGGAGGCTAAAGCAGGGGGACTTTAAATTGAAACCCAGCCTGAGTAAATTAGCAACTTCATGAGAATCTTTCAAAATAAAAAAGAACTGGGTATGCAGTGTCAAATGTGAAGGCTCTGAGTTCAGTGCCTAATATAAAAACAAATACACACAGAGATACAGATAAAAGGAGTGAGAGAATGCAATACATTGTGAACAAAGGAAAATGAGCAAATGCAGGTATCAGAGGTAAAGAATGAACCATCTCTGGCTTCTTTCTTCAACCTATCTTCCCATTCACTCATTCATCAAATAAATAAACAAATAAATAAATAAATAAATATCTATTGACCCCCATCAAGCTTTTTCTCCGAGGAGATTCAGCAGTGACTATAACAGAAGACTCTCTGCTTTCATTAACTTTACAATTTAGAGTACAGGGAGAAGAAAGCAAGTAAACAAGCAAAATCCTTACTATGCAAGGTGGTTTTAAGTGATACAGAAAAAGGAGAACTGAGAAAAAGGACGGGGAGGGCAGCAAGGGCAGGTGCTGTGACTGGACGGCTCCACTTGAGAAACTGACATAGAAACTGGAAGCAGGGCAAGGAGCTAGGCTGCTGCCTGGGGGAGAACTTGCCAGTCAGACATAGCAATCCGAAGGGCCCTGGAACAGAAGAGTGGCAGGGTGGCCTGCTGGGAAACTGTGGGGCAGATAATCAAGTCAGGAGGTGGCCAGGCAGGAAGAGACAGATCATCCAGTCGAAGCAGAGGATGAGGACTCTGGGTTTGTACTTGAGAGCCAGCAGGGTGAAGGAGAAAGGAGGCGGGAATGTGTCTTGAGACCTGATGGTCTGAATGTGAGGTTGTGAGCAGAGACGCACACTGATGTAAAGTTCAAAGTATCAACAAACAAACAAACAAAACCAAAGTATCCACTGACTCTTGTGTTCAGAATAGATGATCCAGAACCGGAGCAAAGCAGAGACACCAGAAAGAGGGCTGCTGGGACAATCCAGATGGCGGAAAAGGTGGAGACTGTGAGATGATCAGACAGACTGTAGATACTGCGACAGTAAAGCTGAGAGCGTCTGCTGAGAGATTTCATGTGCAGTTTGAGAGGTCTAAGATTCTTCTAAGTTTCTGACTGAGCCACTAAAGAGTGAAGTAGCAATTCAGAGATGAAGAAGACTTAAGGAGAGCCAGTAGTTTGATTTTGCATCTGTAGAGTATCAGATATCTACATGCCATCCAAACAATGGTGGCCAAGTGGCTGGATATACAGGTCTGGAGTGCAGAGTCTGAGTAGGAATTTATATTTGGGAATCACCCTCATAGCACTTAACAGTAGAGAGGAATATTCTTGGAAATGAGGACAGGCAAAAGTGTCCTGGGGTTCTCTGCCAATAAAAGGACCAGAGGTCAGAGAGAAGCTTGTACTGAGGCTAAGGAATCAGTTGGAGAAGCAAGAATAAACTCAGGAAAATGTCTTGGAAGCCAAGAAAAAATGCTAACAGTCAAGTGAAATGAGGACAACTGACCACTGAAATTAGCACCTTGGAGGTCACTGATGGTTTTATTTTTTTTCAAAT